CCCACCCCCCAGCGGCCCTCCTCTTTCACCTGGGTGTGAGATACCAGGAGGTCTGACCACAGAACCTGGAGCTGCAGCTGCAGAACAAGATCAGACACGTTCTGAGTCTGGTGAAAAAGATGGTTCATATTTTAATTCACAATGCATCCTGTTGCAACCGAATATTAATCATAAAAGTTTAACTGTCAGGGGAAAAAAGTTAAGAACTCTATAAATCTCTGATCTTCACCAAGTCATMGAATCTATAAAAAACAGCCTCAAATGAACAAATAACATGTTACAGGTGTGGATGGATGCATCTGTTGGTATATGCTTACCACTCATTAGAACGAGTCACTTCTCATGAAAAGTGATTCAGTTGAAAATATTTGTCTAATGCAAGGGTCTGCAACCTGCGGCTCTGGGGCTCAGAATTAAATCATTTTGACGACCATACACGCAGACTTTCTGTGCATTTGTTCAACGTGTTTCTGCATTCTTGATAAACTTGCCACGACAAACAATATATTTTTAGGTTTATGTCACGTCCACAGGCCATAAAGGTTCATGAAAAGGCCTTGAAAATGCCCACAAACCACCAGTTGATAATCACAGCTGTAGCTTGTTTTGCGGCTCTGGACACATTATTAGTGAGCCGAGGAGCAGAAATGGCTCTTTTGATTGTAAAGGTTGCAGACCCCTGGTCTAATGTACAGTATATCTGCATGCATTTAGTCTGTGACGAAGTAAACAAAAATGCAAAAAAATAAGTTTGTTTTTACAAGTTAATACTAAATGTAGCAGACTGGCTGTAAACAAAGAAACAAAGTGTGGCAAATTCTGACTTTAAAAGAACTGTGTAAAAATAAATATCTGCAATAACCTGAAACTACATTGCAGGAAGAAAAAGAAGACGTCTGTTTTTTTTTTTTTATCTCATTGTATTTTTATCTTAAATTGGTTCCTCTAGTCTTTTAGACTGACAATAATTTATAATATATTTTCGGTATCTGACATTAACAAATGAGGACCCATGATGACCACCCACAACTACACTTTTATTTCTTTAAGATATGACTTTTGAGTTGTGTACTGAGTAAAAAATAAAAAAGTAAAATAAAAAAAAATAGTAACTCAACCAAGCAGCAAAGCTGAGACAGGGTTTGTCACTGTGTGAAAGGAAGTAAGCAGTCCTTTTTTTTAACAACTTGTGAGATACCTCTCTAATAATAACCACTGAAAACACACATCGATGCTTTTTATGGCCACAGTGGGTGAAATGACGAAAGCAAAAGTGTTCTGACTTGAAGAGGTTATTCTTCAGCTTGATGTTGAAGTTGACTGTGACTATTCACCAAATTGTTTTTTTTTTWAACKTTTGCTGATCTGCTTCGAAGAAACAGGCCTGAGTTTGGCTAATGCTCCCTCCAAAGAAGAGCTGATGGGATGGGACACAGACTCTAGCTGACTACATGAGGCGGGTGAGTCACATTTTAACAGGTTGTTTTTGTCAAGCTGAAACGGACATCTATAGAATGGGGAAAAAACAGATGATCTTGAAAAAGCAATGATGTGTAAGCAAAAGTATGGATGTACATTTTTAGCATCTGATATTGGCAACATTTGTCTGGCTTAGTTCTGGCCCATACAATGCTCTTAACACTCGGGCCAGATTCTCCAAAAAATGACGGCCCTTTGGTGGCCCAAATGTCGTTTGCCAGGGGTGGTCCATGCATGGCCCAACATCACATAAACCAAACAAGGGGACCAGTTGTGGCCTTAAATCTTAAAAACAGGACTACTACAGCCAGATCTGGCCCACACCTGTCTRTTATGTGGGCTAATGCTGTGTGTCGTTGTGTGCAAAACAACTGCATATTAACCRTCCTCATCTCCTCAACTGACGAGAGCAAATCAAATGAAAAATGTCTTTAGTTATGTGAAAACATTTTCAAGACAGTTGATCTTTAGGGATGTTGATGTTTGACAATGAAATCTTTTACAGCAGATCAAATTCAAAAGGGACAAGACTGCGACAAAAAATATTAAATAAATCATTTTTCATAGCTTTTAAATCTATGCTTACCACAAAAAGTAAGGATATTTGTGTTTGGTAGATTATTTCTTTGTTGTAACAATGCTTCTTGGTAATAAACCTTATATYGTTGGAAAATTTGTTAATGTCCCTTTTAAAAGGTCTCACATAAGGAACGTGCATTTGTGAGATGAGCTGTAGAGCTGAGTTTGTGGGTTGCACACATTAAAAGTTTGCCAAATCTTCTCTGCCATGAGCAAACAGCTTATTTTGCTGTTGCTATTGAACTTGTTTTGATCTTCTGGTACCCCCATGTTACAGCCAATCAGGTGCAGCTATAAGATGTATTGCCAAGAAGAAGCATTGTTACAACAAAGAATGGGCCTCATGCAAAAACATGTTCGTATTCTTATCAAAAATTTCTCTTACTTTTGTTCGTACAAAGGGTTCGT